ATGAGAATATTTTGCACGTCCACAACAAGTGGCTCCATTCCGTTCCATGCGGTTGGCAAGATTAGAGCGCCCGAACTCTGCCTGGTACGCCCATTATAGGTGCGCACACTGCTTCGAGTGCCCAGCGCACCACTTTGACTGGTCCGCTTCATTGGATGCCTCATTTGTTTTTGTTAGTTCCCTTGATTAAACTATTTTGCACGTTCACAACAAGTGGCTCCTTTCGTTCCATGCGGTTGGCAAGATTTGAGCGCCCGAACTCCGCCTGGTACGCCCCTTATAGGTGCTCACACTGCCCCGACTGCCCAGCGCACCACTTTGACTGGTCCGCTGCATTGGATGCCTCATTTGTTTTGCTAGTCCCCTTGGTGAGACGTTTTTTGCACGTACACAACAAGTGGCTCCATTTCGTTCCATGCGGTTGGCAAGATTTGAGCGCCCGAACTCTGTCTGGTAAGCCCCTTATAGGTGCGTACACTGCCACGTCTGCCCAGCGCACCACTTTGACTGGTCCGCTGCATTAGATGCCTCATTTTCTTTGCTAGTCCCCTTGATGAGACAATTTTGCACGTCCACAATAAGTGGCTCCATTTCGTTCCAAGCGGTTGGCAAGATTTGAGCGCCCGAACTCTGCCTGGTACGCCCCTTATAGGTGCGCACACTGCCCCGACTGCCCAGCGCACCACTTTGACTGGTCCGCTGCATTGGATGCCTCATTTATTTTGCTAGTCCCCTTGATGAGACAATTTTGCACGTCCACAACAAGTGGCTCCATTTCGTTCCATGCGGTCGGCAAGATTTGAGCGCCCGAACTCTGCCTGGTACGCCCCTTATAGGTGCGCACACTGCCCCGACTGCCCAGCGCACCACCTTGACCGGTCCGCTGCATTGGATGCCTCATTTTTTTTGCTAGTCCCCTTGATGAGACTATTTTGCACCTCCACAACAAGTGGCTCCATTGCGTTCCAAGCGGTCGGCAAGATTTGAGCGCCCGAACTCTGCCTGGTACGCCCCTTATAGGTGCGCACACTGCCCCGACTGCCCAGCGCACCACCTTGACCGGTCCGCTGCATTGGATGCCTCATTTTTTTTGCTAGTCCCCTTGATGAGACTATTTTGCACGTCCACAACAAGTGGCTCCATTTCGTTCCAAGCGGTCGGCAAGATTTGAGCGCCCGAACTCTGCCTGGTACGCCCCTTATAGGTGCGCACACTGCCCCGACTGCCCAGCGCACCACCTTGACCGGTCCGCTGCATTGGATGCCTCATTTTTTTTTGCTAGTCCCCTTGATGAGACTATTTTGCACGTCCACAACAAGTGGCTCCATTTCGTTCCAAGCGGTCGGCAATATTTGAGTGCCCGAACACTGCCTGGTACGCCCCTTACAGGTGCGCACACTGCCCCGACTGCCCAGCGCACCACTTTGACCGGTCCGCTGCATTGGATGCCTCATTTTGTTTGCTGGTCCCCCTCTACCAGGTTCTAACCTTTTGGATCTATGTAATTCGCCAAATATAGGCATTCAAGTCGTGCATGGTATCTGCACTACAGGCACGCATACCGACCAACTTGACCAGCGCATTACGTATGTTTGTAGAGATGCGGTTAGTACCGTTTTCTTGTCAATCCACTAGATTAGGCCATCTACTTTAACAACACTAGGTTCTAACCTTTTACATCCACATAATTTGCAAGATTTCAGAGCTCCAGCTACGCCTTGTACCTGCACACAAGCGTGCATACTGCCCGAACCGGCTCACGCATCATTTTCTTTGTAGAAGTAGAGTGAATACCAGATATGTTTTGCTTTTCCTTTACATTATACCATTCCCCACCCCTCTACCAGGTTCTAACCTTTTGGATCTATGTAATTCGCCAAATATAGGCATTCCAGTCTTACCGACCAACTTGACCAGCGCATTACGTATGTTTGTAGAGATGCGGTTAGTACCATCTTCTTGTCAACCCGCTAGATTAGGCCATCTACTTTAACAACACTAGGTTCTAACCTTTTAAATCCACATAATTTGCAAGATTCAGAGCTCCAGCTCCGCCTTGTACCTGCACACAAGCGTGCATACTACTCGAACCGGCTCACGCATCATTTTCTTTGTAGAAGTAGAGTGAATACCACATATGTTTCGCATTTCCTTTACATTATACCATTCCCCACCCCTCTACCAGGTTCTAACCTTTTGGATCTATGTAATTCGCCAAATATAGGCATTCCAGTCGTGCATGGTACCTGCACTACAGGCACGCATACCGACCAACTTGACCAGCGCATTACGTATGTTTGTTGAGATGCGGTTAGTACAATTTTCTTGTCAGTCCACTAGATTAGGCCATATACTTTAACAACACTAGGTTCTAACCTTTTAGATCCACATAATATTGCAATATTTCAGAGCTCCAGCCCCGCCTTGTACCTGCACACAAGCGTGCATATTACCGGAAACGGCTCACGCATAATTTTCTTTGTAGAATTAGAGTGAATACCACATATGTTTCGCTTTTCCTTTACATTATACCATTCCCCACCCCTCTACCAGGTTCTAACCTTTTGAATCTATGTAATTCGCCAAATATAGGCATCCCAGTCGTGCATGGTACCTGCACTACAGGCACGCATACCGACCAACTTGACCAGCGCATTACGTATGTTTGTAGAGATATAGTTAGTACCATTTTCTTGTCAGTCCACTAGATTAGGCCATCTACATTAACAACACTAGGTTCTAACCTTTTAGATCCACATAATTTGCAAGATTTCAGAGCTCCAGCTCCGCCTTGTACCTGCACACAAACGCTCGCAAACTGACCCACGCATCATTCTCTCTGTATAGATATAGTGAATACCACATATGTTCCGCATTTCCTTTACATTATACCATTCCCCACCCCTCCACCAAGTCTAACCTTTTGGATCTATGTAATTTGCCAAATATAGGCATTCCAGTCGTGCATGGTACCTGCACAATAGGCACGCATACCGACCAAACTGACCTGCGCATTACGTATGTTTATAGAGATGCAGTACCATTTTCTTGCCAGTCTACTAGATTAGGATATCAATTCTTATAATACTAGGTTCTAGCCTTTTAGATCCACATAATTTGCAAGATTTCAGAGCTCCAGCTTCGCCTTGTACCTGCACACAAGCGTGCATACTGACCTAACTGACGCACGCATCATTCTCTCTGTATAGATACACTGAATACCATGTTTCGCATTTCCTTTAACAATACCAGGTTCTAACCTTTTGGATCTACGTAATTTTCCAAATATAGGCATTGCATGGTAATTGCACTACAGGCACGCATACTGACCAAACTGACCAGCGCATTACGTATGTTTATAGAGATGCACTTAGTACCATTTTCTTGCCAGTGCACTAGATTAGGACATCTACTTTAAAAACACTAGGTCCTAACCTTTTAGATCAACATAATTTGCAATATTTCAGAGCTTCAGCTCCGCCTTGTACCTGCACACAAGCGTGCATACTACCCGAACCGACCCACGTATCATTCTGTCTGTATAGATACAGTGAATACCACATATGTTTTGCTCTTCCTTTACAGTATACCATTCCCCACCCCTCTAATAGGTTCTAACATTTTGAATCTATGTAAATCGCAAAAAAATAGCATTTTAGTCGTACATGGTACCTGCACAACAGGTACCGACCAAACTGACCAGCGGATTAAGTATGTTTGTAGAGATGCAGTTAGTACCATTTTCTTGCCAGTCCACTAGATTAGGACATCTACTTTAACAATACTAGGTTCTAACCTTTTAGAGCTCCAGCTCCGCCTTGTATCTGCACACAAACGTGCATACTACCCGAACCAACCCACGCATCAATCTCTCTGTACAAATACAGTGAATACCACATATGTTTCGCATTTCCTTTACAGTATACCATTCCACACCCGTCTAAAAGGCTCTAACCTTTTGGATCTATGTAATTTGCCAAAAGTAGGCATTCTAGTCATGCATGGTACCTGCACTACAGGCGCGCATACCGACCAACTTGACCAGCGCATTACGTATGTTTGTAGAGATGCGGTTAGTACCATTTTCTTGTCAGTCCACTAGATTAGGCCATCTACTTTAACAACACCAGGTTCTAAGCTTTTAGATCCACGTAATTTGCAAGATCTCAGAGCTCCACCTCCGCCTTGAACCTGCACAAAAGCGTGCATACTACCCGAACCGGCTCACGCATCATTTTCTTTGTAGAAGTACAGTGAATGCCACATATGTTTCGCTTTTTCTTTACATCATACCATTTCCCACCCCTCTACAAGGTTCTAACCTTTTCGATCTATGTAATTCCCCAAAAATAGGCATTCTAGTCGTGCGTGGTACCTGCACTACATGAGCGCATACCGACCAACTTGACCAGCGCATTACGTATGTTTGTAGAGATACGGCTAGTACCATTTTCTTGTCGATCCACTAAATTGGGCCATCTACTTTAACAACACTAGGTTCTAACCTTTTAGATCCACATAGTTTAAGATATTTTAGAGCTCCAGCTCCGCCTTGTACCTGCACACAAGCGTGCATAGTGACCAAACTGACCCACGCATCATTCTCTTTGTATAGATACAGTGAATACCACATATGTTTCGCATTTCCTTTACATTATACCATTCCCCACCCCTCTAACAGGTTCTAACCTTTTGGATCTATCTAATTTCCAAAAAATAGGCATTTCAGTCGTGCATGGTACCTGCACTACAGGCGGGCATACCGACCAACTTGACCAGCACAATACGTATGTTTGTAGAGATGCTGTTAGTACCATTTTCTTGTCAGTCAACTAGATTAGGCCATCTACTTTAACAACACTAGGTTCTAACCTTTTAGATCCACAAAATTTGCAAGATTTCAGAGCTCCAGCTCCGCCTTGTACCTGCACACAAGCGTGCATACTACCTGAACCGGCTCACGCATCATTTTCTCTGTATAAGTAGAGTGAATGCCACATATGTTTCGCTTTTCCTTTACATTATACCATTACCCACCCCTCTACCAGATTCTAACCTTTTGGATCTATGTAATTCCCTATTCTCCCTCTTTCCATCACCCCGCCCAATTCTCCCTCTTTCCATCACCCCGCCCAATTCTCCCTCTTTCCATCATCCAGCCCCATTCTCCCTCTTTCCATCACCCTGCCCCATTCTCCCTCTTTCCATCACCCAGCCCCATTCTCCCGCTTTCCATCACCCCGCCCCATTCTCCCGCTTTCCATCACCCTGCCCCATTCTCCCGTTTTTTATCACCCAGCCTCATTCTCCCTCTTTCCATCACCCAGCCCCATTCTCCCTCTTTCCACCCCGCCCCATTCTCCCGCTTTCCATCTCCCCGCCCCATTCTCCCTCATTCCATCACCTCGCCCTATTCTCCTGCTTTCCATCACTCCGCCCCATCCCTCTTTCCATCACACCGCCCCATCCATCACCCCGCACCATTCTCCCTCTTGCCATCACTCCGCCCCATTCTCCCTCTTTCCATCACCCCGCCCCATTCTCCCTCTTTCCATCACCCCGCGCCATTCTCCCGCTTTCCATCACCCCGCCCCATTTTCCCGCTTTCCATCACCCCGCCCCATTCTCTTGCTTTCCATCACCCTGCCCCATTCTCCCGCTTTCCATCACCCGGTCCCATTCTCCCTCTTTCCATCACCCCGCCCTATTCTCCCTCTTTCCATTTATCACCCAGCCCATTTCTCCCTCTTTCCATCACCCCGCCTCATTCTCCCTCTTTCCATCACCCCGCCCAATTCTCCCTCTTTCCATCACCCCGCCCAATTCTCCCTCTTTCCATCATCCAGCCCCATTCTCCCTCTTTCCATCACCCTGCCCCATTCTCCCTCTTTCCATCACCCAGCCCCATTCTCCCGCTTTCCATCACCCCGCCCCATTCTCCCGCTTTCCATCACCCTGCCCCATTCTCCCGTTTTTTATCACCCAGCCTCATTCTCCCTCTTTCCATCACCCAGCCCCATTCTCCCTCTTTCCACCCCGCCCCATTCTCCCGCTTTCCATCTCCCCGCCCCATTCTCCCTCATTCCATCACCTCGCCCTATTCTCCTGCTTTCCATCACTCCGCCCCATCCCTCTTTCCATCACACCGCCCCATCCATCACCCCGCACCATTCTCCCTCTTGCCATCACTCCGCCCCATTCTCCCTCTTTCCATCACCCCGCCCCATTCTCCCTCTTTCCATCACCCCGCGCCATTCTCCCGCTTTCCATCACCCCGCCCCATTTTCCCGCTTTCCATCACCCCGCCCCATTCTCTTGCTTTCCATCACCCTGCCCCATTCTCCCGCTTTCCATCACCCGGTCCCATTCTCCCTCTTTCCATCACCCCGCCCTATTCTCCCTCTTTCCATTTATCACCCAGCCCATTTCTCCCTCTTTCCATCACCCCGCCTCATTCTCCCTCTTTCCATCACCCCGCCCTATTTTCCCTCTTTCCATCACCCCGCCCCATTCTCCCGCTTTCCATCACCCCGCCCCATTCTCCCCCTTTCCATCACCCCGCCCTGTTCTCCCGCTTTCCATCACCCCGCCCCGTTCTCCCGCTTTCCATCACCCCGACCCGTTCTCCCGCTTTCCATCACCCCGACCCGTTCTCCCGCTTTCCATCACCCCGCCCTGTTCTCCCGCTTTCCATCACCTCGCCCCATTCTCCCGCTTTCCATCACCCCGCCGCGAACTCCCGCTTTCCATCACCCCGCCCCATTCTCCCTCTTTACATCATCCGGCCCCATTCTCCCTCTTTCCATCACCCAGCCCCATTCTCCCGCTTTCCATCACGCCGCCCCATTCTCCCTCTTTACATCACCCCGCCCCATTCTCCCTCTTTCCATCACCCAGCCCCATTCTCTCGCTTCCCATCACCCCGCCCCATTCTCCCTCTTTCCATCACCCCGCCCCATTCTCCCTCTTTCGATCACCTCGCCCCATTCTCCCGCTTTCCATCGCCCCGCCCAATTCTTCCGCTTTCCATCACCCCGCCCCATTCTCCCTCTAACCATCACCCCGCCCCATTCTCCCGATTTCCATCACCCCGCCCCATTCTCCCGCTTTCCATCGCCCCGCCCCATTCTCCCGCTTTCCATCGTCCCGCCCCATTCTCCCACTTTCCATCACCCCGCCCCATTCTCCCTCTTTCCATCACCCTGCCCCATTCTCCCTCCTTCTATCGCCCCGCCCCATTCTCCCTCTTTCCATCGCCCAGCCGCATTCTCCCTCTTTCCATCGCCCCGCCCCATTCTCCTTTTTTCCATCGCCCCTCCCCATTCTCCAGCTTTCCGTCACCCTGCCCCATTCTCCCTCTTTCAATTGCCCCGCCCCGTTCTCCCGCTTTCCATCGCCCCGCCCCGTTCTCCCGCTTTCCATCACGTGCCCCATTCTCCCGATTTCCATCACCCCACCCCATTCTCCCGCATTCCATCACCCCGCATCATTCTTCCGCTTTCCATCACACCGCCCCATTTTCCCGCTTCCCATCACCCCGCCCCATTCTCCCTCTTTCCATCGCCCCGCCCCATTCTCCCGCTTTCTATCTCCCCGCCCCATTCTCCCGCTTTCCATCACCCCGCCCCATTCTCCTGCTTTCCATCACCCCGCCCCATTCTCCCGCTTTCAATCACCCCGCCCCATTCTCCCGCTTTCGATCACCCCGCCCCATTCTCCCGCTTTCCATCACCCCGCCCCATTCTCCCGCTTTCCATCGCCCCGCCCCATTCTCCCGCTTTCCATCGCCCCGCCCCAATCTCCCGCTTTCCATCACCCCGCCCCATTCTCCCTCTTTCCATCACCCCGCCCCATTCTGCCTCTTCCCATCGCCCCGCCCCATTCTCCCTCTTTCCATCACCCCGCCCCATTCCCCCGCTTTCCATCACCCTGCCTCATTCTCCCTCTTTCCATCGCCCCGCCCCATTCTCCCGCTTTCCATCGCCCCGCCCCATTCTCCCTCTTTCCATCACCCAGCCCCATTCTCCCTCTTTCCATCACCTTGCCCCATTCTCCCTCTTTCCATCACCCAGCCCCATTCTCCCTCTTTCCATCACCCCGCCCCATTCTCCCTCTTTCCATCACCCCGCCCCATTCTCCCGCTTTCCATCACCCCGCCCCATTCTCCCGCTTTCCATCACCCCGCCTCATTCTCCCTCTTTCCATCGCCCTGTTGGATGCACGTCATTCTGAGTGCATGTCATCCTAACGTCCTGCCGAGTGCTCGTGCTATTTGTGCTTGCATGATTTGCATGAGCGTATGTCATTATGCATGGCTGTTGGATATTACCATCTCTGTGTTTTTCTCCAAGTCTACATGCTTGATCATGCAGGAGAAATCCAGAGCTTTCCAACGATACCAAGATCGCCTTATTCCGACCAAGATCGCCCGAGTTACAAGATTTCCAAGCTTTGGGAATTCTATCTCATTTTGAGATATTATCTACAGTGGGCGATTATTGGGACATGACTATAAAGGGATCTTTGGTTGGGTGGTTAGGAAGGCAACTTTGACTTTTGGATTGGGGTGGCTAGAAGTTTCTAGCATGGGTTGCAAATGTTGCAACACCTAGGCAAAATCCAACTAGATTGGATTTTGTATGTGACACCTCAAGGATCTCATGATGAGGGTTGCATCCTTGCAGCTAGGAAGGTTCATACCATCCTTCCCTATCTCTTGGAGAACCCCTTCCCTCTCATGGTTCTCTTGGAGTCCCTAAATCCAACTTCCTATGCCCACATGCTTGTACTTCCTCCACCATTCTAGTCATGCGGCTGCTGGACGTTTTTATATGGTTCTCACTCTCTAGACCATCTTAACGACTGATTCAACTTGGATATGGTAGCTAAGCCTAAGGCGCACAATCCTACCGAGCGGAGTTGCGTTTAGTTGAGAAATGAGTTCGTCGTAAGCTCTCAAAGTGACGGATCCTGAACAACAAGTGGTATCAGAGCGGGTAGTCGACTTTGAGACGACGAATCGTCGTGAATTCTCAACCAATGTTGTCGAGTGAGACCAGTTCCGAGAATTCTGCTTGCGACCGTTCGATTGGTGGTCAAACCGCGTTCTAATTCGAAGTATCCAGTCCGCGACGGCGATTTTCGTAGAATTGAAATTTCTGGCAGAATTCTCTCCAAACGATTTCTCAAGTTTCCACCGTTCATAAGGCCTCAATATGGTTGGTACGAACTCCAGAGGTGCTAGTGGCGAGATGGATAGAAGTAGAGAGGCTGGAGAGCAAGGCGGAGTTGCTGGTGGTGGAGTGGGGACTCACCAATCAGCCAACCCTACGCTACCTACATCTACTACACCATCTCCAACAACCGCAGATCCCGTGAAGGCGTTCTCTATTGAGAAGTTCATGGGGGAGGACTACGAGCACTGGAGCTTCCGCATGAGGCTGATGTACACCCAATACAAGCTATTGGATCTGGTGGAGGGGAAGGAGAAGATGCCGGAGGCCGCGGAGTTGAAAGGAGCGTGGATGAAGCGATCGTTCGACGCGTACATGCTAATGGTGCAAGCGGTTGGCGGGCGACAACTTGACCACATCAAGGACCTCTTGGGTGATCCAGAGTGTGCCCCCAAGGCTTGGAGGAAGCTTCTGGATGTGCACTCACCGACACACGCTACCGGCATCGTGCTACTCGCGCGGCGGCTGCGCGGCATCAAGTTCGTTGATGGAGAGCCGATGCAACCGGAGTTGGATGAGATGCGGGACATCTTCACGAAGCTCCAAGGCGGCGGTGTGGTGTACCCGGAGCTTGTGCAATGCGTGGAGATCGTGATACGGCTGCCGGAGTCGTGGTCTGCCCTTGCCATCAACCTCAACTCCCAACAACCCCAATGGAGCGTGGATTACATTCGTGCGCACATCCTAGAGGAGGACTTGCGGCGGCGGAGTGTGGAGCGCTCGGAGGAGGGGGCTGGCTATGGAGTTGGAGGTGGAAAGAGTGGCTTCAAGAAGAAGTGGAAGGGCAAAAACAATGACAACTCTAAGGAGGATGGCGGCGGGGGTCAAGGGGAGGTGTGCTTCTACTGCAAGAAGCGCGGACATCGTTGGCGGAAGTGCTACCAACGACCCAAGGATTGGACCCCGCCTTCATCAAGCAACCAGCGTGGGGGCACGAGGAGTGGGGGAGTCATGGGAGCTAGTGGAGAGGAGAAGGAGGAGGAGAAAGGCGGCAAATCTGAGGAGCGGAAGGCCGGGTTCTTCTTCTTCGTGAACGAAGGCGCAACCGACCTCGCTATGGCTGCCAAGGTTCTCCTACACCCCCTCACCCATTGGATGATTGACTCTGGGAGCTCTTGGCACATGACTCCTCGTGCGGACCTACTCGATGAGATTCAGCCCGCACCCATCTCTACAATCACATCCGCGACGGGCGCCAAGGCCAAGGTCATGGGCATGGGATGCGCAAAGTTTATGGGAGCGGATGGAGAGCTCTTGGGGCTGAAGAATGTCCTGTGGGTGCCAGACTTGTGCGCGAACCTGATTTCTACCGGCCGGTTGGGAGATGCGGGTGTGAACACCGAGACGATTGGCTCGGAGCGCTATCGTGCCTACAACGATGAGCGGCTGATTTGGGACCTGCAGTGGAAAGGGGATGTCCACAAGCGCATGTGGCAGATCCCGGTCCTCCCTTGGTGGAAATCGGGCAAGGCGGCAGCGGCGGCATCTATGGAGGAGAGCGTCACTGAGGAGGAGCAGCAAGGTGTGCAAGGAGAGGAGCTGATTGGAGGAAGCGCGGCGGTGAAGGCGTCGACTACCTCAGGCCAAGCGGATTGGGAGACTTGGCATCGGCGGCTCGCACACGTAGCTGTTTCCACATTGGAGGTGATGCACAAGGAGAAGTGCGTGCATGGGCTGCAACTGCAAGGAGATGGCGCTCACTATGGCAGCTGCGAGGCGTGCATGCAAAACAAGTTTGCGCGGTTCCCGTTTCCACGTGTGGAGGGATCAGCGAAGGCGCCACTGGAGGTGGTGCACATGGACCTGGTGGGTCCTATGAGGACTGAGGGGACTGGGGGAGTGCTGTACTTCCTCACCATGGTGGACGAATGGAGCCGTTGCACGTGGGCACGTCCCTTGTCCAAGAAGAGCGATGCTGCAGCGGCCATCAAGGAGGATTGGTTGCCGATGGTGGAGCTGCAAGCGATGCGGCTGGTGAAGGTGCTGAGGAGCGACCGAGTTGGAGAGTTCCTTGGAGCGGAATTCACCAAGTTCCTCAAGAGAAATGGCATCCGACATCAGCTGACCTGCCCTGGAACACCGCAGCAGAACGGCATTGCTGAGCGTGCCAACCGGACTATTGGCGAGGCGGCTAAGACCTTGTTGGGGGCTGCTGGGATGCCCTACAAGTTCTGGCCTGATGCCGTTCGCCATGTCATCACGGTCAAGAACAGGGTCTTGACACATGTTGGCGACAAGCATTGGGTGCCGTACAAGCGCTGGCTTGGGAAGAAGCCATCCATTGACATGCTGCGGGTGTGGGGCTGCATGGGGCTTGTGATGGTGCCTAAGGAGCAGAGGCACAAGCTGGAAGTTGCTGCTGTGTGGGCTGTCCATCTGGGGATGGCTCCTGACTCGAAGGGGTGGCTGATGTGGGACCCCAAGAGCAAGAGGACGCTGGTCAGCCGTGACGTCAAGTTTGTGGAGGACGTCATGTACAAGGACTGGCAACAGCAGCAGCAGGTGCAGATTGGCTTGCGTCTGCAGGAGATTGAGCGGTCTGCAGTGGAGGATGTTCAGCTGCACCTTGAGGATCTCCCTGGGTCAGAGCTGACCAGTGACCACAGTGGCGGTGGTGAGTAGCAAGGTGCTGGTCCTGCTGCGGAGGAGGGGTTGGAGGATGAGTCGGCACGTGTGGACTCACCATCTCAGCCCGAGCCTGCTGCAACCGCCAAGGTCACCAAGAGGAGTGTGCAGAGAGGAGCTTCACCACATGGGCAGCAGATTGCAACCCGCGAGAAGAGAGTGGCAGCAGCACCCTCAAGGCTGAAGTATAGCCGTTTGGGAGGACCCAAGCAAGGTGTCATGGCGGTTCAGGCGGATGAGGGAGAGGATGAGGAGATGGCGTTTTGTTTCTTCACACCTCTGCCTGGAGAACCAGCCACATTGGAGGAGGCACCGAGTGGACCCTAGAAGGAGGAGTGGAAGGCTGCCATGGATGCGGAGTTCAACAGTCTCATTGAGAATGGGACTTGGGAGCTTGTTGAGTTACCCGAGGGGCGACGGCCGATCAGCAGCAAGTGGGTCTTCAAGGTGAAGAGTGGTGCTGATGGTGCGTTGGAGCGGTTCAAGAGCCGTTTGGTCGCCAAGGGGTTTCAGCAGAAAGAGAAGGTCGACTTTGGGGAGATCTTCGCTCCCGTTGCTAAGCCAGTGACACTGAGGACTTTGATGGCTGGCGTAGCTGTGAAGGGATGGCACGTGAAGCAGATGGATATCACCACTGCGTTCCTCAATGGAGTGCTGCTGGAGGATACCTACATGGCGCAGCCCAACGGCTATGAGGATGGGACCAGCCGGGTGTGCAAGCTTAAGAAGGCCATCTATGGCCTTAAGCAAGCGCCCAGGTGTTGGTACGAGAAGCTGGAGGAGGTGCTGCTGGGTGGAGGCTTCAAGACGTCCCAGGCGGATCACAGCTTGTTTCTGCTTGGAGAGGGGGAGCAGCTGCTCTTGCTGCTGGTGTATGTCGACGACATACTGCTGTTCTCACCTTCCATGGAGCAGATTGAGAGGACACAGAAGCTGCTGATGGACAACTTCAAGTGCAAGATGCTGGGGGATGTCCACTACTACTTGGGGCTGCAGATTGAGAGGGATGTTGAGAGGAAGTGGCTGAAGGTGCGTCAGTCACACTACATCTCTGGTGTCATGGAGCGGTATGGTGTGACTGGGGGTCGCACTGTGATGACACCGTTCCCTGTGGGCTTCAAACTGAAGAAGGCAGCTGAGGAGGATGATGTGCTTGAGGATGAGCAGCAAAATGAGTACCAGTCACTCATTGGGAGTGTGATGTATGCAGCTGTGCATACACGACCTGATGCTTCATTCGGAGTGGGGCAGTTATCCAGAGTTGTGCAGCGGCCCACTGAGGAGCAGTTGGAGGTGGCAAAGCGCTTGGTGCGCTACCTCGGATCAACGGCATCTGCTGGTGTTCAGTTTTCAGCTGGCGGCCAGCTGAAACAGATTGGAGCAGATGGGGTTACGCCTGGAACCTTGAAGCTGTCATGCTTCACCGACGCCACATGGGCCTCAGAGGATGAGGATCAGTCATCGGTTGGCGGCTTTGTGTGCATGGTCGGAGGTGGACCAGTGAGCTGGAGGTCCAAGAAGCAGAGTGAGATTGCTCAGTCTTCTGGAGAGGCAGTGTACATGGCGATGTGCCATGCCATCAAGGAGATTGTGCTCTTGAGGAAGCTGCTGGAGGACATGGGAGCTGAACAGCAGGGACCTACACCACTTTTCTCCGACAGCGAGGCTGCTATTGGCATGGCCAATAATCCTATCCTGAATGGGCTGAACAAGCACATGAAAATTAAGTGGCACTGGGTGAGGCAGATGGTGAAGGAGGGAGCTGTTGAGCTTCACCATGTGAAGGCTAGCAAGCAGGCGGCAGATTTTCTCACCAAGAGACTTCCCGAGAGTGCACATTGGAAGTGTGCTAAGATGTGTGGCATGGCATTGCACTAGTGTGGGCAGCAGTGTCATGAGTGCATGTGTGATTGTGTGCATGAGAGTTTGCATTTGTGTGAGTGTGTGTGCATGCAGTCCGTTAGTCTGAGGGGGAGTTTGTTGGATGCACGTCATTCTGAGTGCATGTCATCCTAACGTCCTGCCGAGTGCTCGTGCTATTTGTGCTTGCATGATTTGCATGAGCGTATGTCATTATGCATGGCTGTTGGATATTACCATCTCTGTGTTTTTCTCCAAGTCTAGATGCTTGATCATGCAGGAGAAATCCAGAGCTTTCCAACGATACCAAGATCGCCTTATTCCGACCAAGATCGCCCAAGTTACAAGATTTCCAAGCTTTGGGAATTCTATCTCATTTTGAGATATTATCTACAGTGGGTGATTATTGGGACATGACTATAAAGGGACCTTTGGTTGGGTGGTTAGGAAGGCAACTTTGACTTTTGGATTGGGGTGGCTAGAAGTTTCTAGCATGGGTTGCAAATGTTGCAACACCTAGGCAAAATCCAACTAGATTGGATTTTGTATGTGACACCTCAAGGATCTCATGATGAGGGTTGCATCCTTGCAGCTAGGAAGGTTCATACCATCCTTCCCTATCTCTTGGAGAACCCCTTCCCTCTCATGGTTCTCTTGGAGTCCCTAAATCCAACTTCCTATGCCCACATGCTTGTACTTCCTCCACCATTCTAGTCATGCGGCTGCTGGACGTTTTACATGGTTCTCACTCTCTAGACCATCTTAACGACTGATTCAACTTGGATATGGTAGCTAAGCCTAAGGCGCACAATCCTACCGAGCGGAGTTGCGTTTAGTTGAGAAATGAGTTCGTCGTAAGCTCTCAAAGTGACGGATCCTGAACAACAAGTGGTATCAGAGCGGGTAGTCGACTTTGAGACGACGAATCGTCGTGAATTCTCAACCAATGTTGTCGAGTGAGACCAGTTCCAAGAATTCTGCTTGCGACCGTTCGATTGGTGGTCAAACCGCGTTCTAATTCGAAGTATCCAGTCCGCGACGGCGATTTTCGTAGAATTGAAATTTCTGGCAGAATTCTCTCCAAACGATTTCTCAAGTTTCCACCGTTCATAAGGCCTCAATATGGTTGGTACGAACTCCAGAGGTGCTAGTGGCGAGATGGATAGAAGTAGAGAGGCTGGAGAGCAAGGCGGAGTTGCTGGTGGTGGAGTGGGGACTCACCAATCAGCCAACCCTACGCTACCTACATCTACTACACCATCTCCAACAACCGCAGATCCCGTGAAGGCGTTCTCTATTGAGAAGTTCATGGGGGAGGACTACGAGCACTGGAGCTTCCGCATGAGGCTGATGTACACCCAATACAAGCTATTGGATCTGGTGGAGGGGAAGGAGAAGATGCCGGAGGCCGCGGAGTTGAAAGGAGCGTGGATGAAGCGATCGTTCGACGCGTACATGCTAATGGTGCAAGCGGTTGGCGGGCGACAACTTGACCACATCAAGGACCTCTTGGGTGATCCAGAGTGTGCCCCCAAGGCTTGGAGGAAGCTTCTGGATGTGCACTCACCGACACACGCTACCGGCATCGTGCTACTCGCGCGGCGGCTGCGCGGCATCAAGTTCGTTGATGGAGAGCCGATGCAACCGGAGTTGGATGAGATGCGGGACATCTTCACGAAGCTCCAAGGCGGCGGTGTGGTGTACCCGGAGCTTGTGCAATGCGTGGAGATCGTGATACGGCTGCCGGAGTCGTGGTCTGCCCTTGCCATCAACCTCAACTCCCAACAACCCCAATGGAGCGTGGATTACATTCGTGCGCACATCCTAGAGGAGGACTTGCGGCGGCGGAGTGTGGAGCGCTCGGAGGAGGGGGCTGGCTATGGAGTTGGAGGTGGAAAGAGTGGCTTCAAGAAGAAGTGGAAGGGCAAAAACAATGACAACTCTAAGGAGGATGGCGGCGGGGGTCAAGGGGAGGTGTGCTTCTACTGCAAGAAGCGCGGACATCGTTGGCGGAAGTGCTACCAACGACCCAAGGATTGGACCCCACCTTCATCAAGCAACCAGCGTGGGGGCACGAGGAGTGGGGGAGTCATGGGAGCTAGTGGAGAGGAGAAGGAGGAGGAGAAAGGCGGCAAATCTGAGGAGCGGAAGGCCGGGTTCTTCTTCTTCGTGAACGAAGGCGCAACCGACCTCGCTATGGCTGCCAAGGTTCTCCTACACCCCCTCGCCCATTGGGTGATTGACTCTGGGAGCTCTTGGCACATGACTCCTCGTGCGGACCTACTCGATGAGATTCAGCCCGCACCCATCTCTACAATCACATCCGCGACGGGCGCCAAGGCCAAGGTCATGGGCATGGGATGCGCAAAGTTTATGGGAGCGGATGGAGAGCTCTTGGGGCTGAAGAATGTGCTGTGGGTGCCAGACTTGTGCGCGAACCTGATTTCTACCGGCTGGTTGGGAGATGCGGGTGTGAACACCGAGACGATTGGCTCGGAGCGCTATCGTGCCTACAACGATGAGCGGCTGATTTGGGACCTGCAGTGGAAAGGGGATGTCCACAAGCGCATGTGGCAGATCCCGGTCCTCCCTTGGCGGAAATCGGGCAAGGCGGCAGCGGCGGCATCTATGGAGGAGAGCGTCACTGAGGAGGAGCAGCAAGGTGTGCAAGGAGAGGAGCTGATTGGAGGAAGCGCGGCGGTGAAGGCGTCGGCTACCTCAGGCCAAGCGGATTGGGAGACTTGGCATCGGCGGCTCGCACACATAGCTGTTTCCACATTGGAGGTGATGCACAAGGAGAAGTGCGTGCATGGGCTGCAACTGCAAGGAGATGGCGCTCACTATGGCAGCTGCGAGGCGTGCATGCAAAACAAGTTTGCGCGGTTCCCGTTTCCACGTGTGGAGGGATCAGCGAAGGCGCCACTGGAGGTGGTGCACATGGACCTGGTGGGTCCTATGAGGACTGAGGGGACTGGGGGAGTGCTGTACTTCCTCACCATGGTGGACGAATGGAGCCGTTGCACGTGGGCACGTCCCTTGTCCAAGAAGAGCGATGCTGCAGCGGCCATCAAGGAGGATTGGTTGCCGATGGTGGAGCTGCAAGCGATGCGGCTGGTGAAGGTGCTGAGGAGCGACCGAGTTGGAGAGTTCCTTGGAGCGGAATTCACCAAGTTCCTCAAGAGAAATGGCATCCGACATCAGCTGACCTGCCCTGGAACACCGCAGCAGAACGGCATTGCTGAGCGTGCCAACCGGACTATTGGCGAGGCGGCTAAGACCTTGTTGGGGGCTGCTGGGATGCCCTACAAGTTCTGGCCTGATGCCGTTCGCCATGTCATCACGGTCAAGAACAGGGTCTTGACACATGTTGGCGACAAGCATTGGGTGCCGTACAAGCGCTGGCTTGGGAAGAAGCCATCCATTGACATGCTGCGGGTGTGGGGCTGCATGGGGCTTGTGATGGTGCCTAAGGAGCAGAGGCACAAGCTGGAAGTTGCTGCTGTGTGGGCTGTCCATCTGGGGATGGCTCCTGACTCGAAGGGGTGGCTGATGTGGGACCCCAAGAGCAAGAGGACGCTGGTCAGCCGTGACGTCAAGTTTGTGGAGGACGTCATGTACAAGGACTGGCAACAGCAGCAGCAGGTGCAGATTGGCTTGCGTCTGCAGGAGATTGAGCGGTCTGCAGTGGAGGATGTTCAGCTGCACCTTGAGGATCTCCCTGGGTCAGAGCTGACCAGTGACCACAGTGGCGGTGGTGAGCAGCAAGGTGCTGGTCCTGCTGCGGAGGAGGGGTTGGAGGATGAGTCGGCACGTGTGGACTCACCATCTCAGCCCGAGCCTGCTGCAACCGCCAAGGTCACCAAGAGGAGTGTGCAGAGAGGAGCTTCACCACATGGGCAGCAGATTGCAACCCGCGAGAAGAGAGTGGCAGCAGCACCCTCAAGGCTGAAGTATAGCCGTTTGGGAGGACCCAAGCAAGGTGTCATGGCGGTTCAGGCGGATGAGGGAGAGGATGAGGAGATGGCGTTTTGTTTCTTCACACCTCTGCCTGGAGAACCAGCCACATTGGAGGAGGCACCGAGTGGACCCTAGAAGGAGGAGTGGAAGGCTGCCATGGATGCGGAGTTCAACAGTCTCATTGAGAATGGGACTTGGGAGCTTGTTGAGTTACCCGAGGGGCGACGGCCGATCAGCAGCAAGTGGGTCTTCAAGGTGAAGAGTGGTGCTGATGGTGCGTTGGAGCGGTTCAAGAGCCGTTTGGTCGCCAAGGGGTTTCAGCAGAAAGAGAAGGTCGACTTTGGGGAGATCTTCGCTCCCGTTGCTAAGCCAGTGACACTGAGGACTTTGATGGCTGGCGTAGCTGTGAAGGGATGGCACGTGAAGCAGATGGATATCACCACTGCGTTCCTCAATGGAGTGCTGCTGGAGGATACCTACATGGCGCAGCCCAACGGCTATGAGGATGGGACCAGCCGGGTGTGCAAGCTTAAGAAGGCCATCTATGGCCTTAAGCAAGCGCCCAGGTGTTGGTACGAGAAGCTGGAGGAGGTGCTGCTGGGTGGAGGCTTCAAGACGTCCCAGGCGGATCACAGCTTGTTTCTGCTTGGAGAGGGGGAGCAGCTGCTCTTGCTGCTGGTGTATGTCGACGACATACTGCTGTTCTCACCTTCCATGGAGCAGATTGAGAGGACACAGAAGCTGCTGATGGACAACTTCAAGTGCAAGATGTTGGGGGATGTCCACTACTACTTGGGGCTGCAGATTGAGATGGATGTTGAGAGGAAGTGGCTGAAGGTGCGTTAGTCACACTACATCTCTGGTGTCATGGAGCGGTATGGTGTGACTGGGGGTCGCATTGTGATGACACCGTTCCCTGCGGGCTTCAAACTGAAGAAGGCAGCTGAGGAGGATGATGTGCTTGAGGATGAGCAGCAAAATGAGTACCAGTCACTCATTGGGAGTGTGATGTATGCAGCTGTGCATACACGACCTGATGCTTCATTCGGAGTGGGGCAGTTATCCAGAGTTGTGCAGCGGCCCACTGAGGAGCAGTTGGAGGTGGCAAAGCGCTTGGTGCGCTACCTCGGATCAACGGCATCTGCTGGTGTTCAGTTTTCAGCTGGCGGCCAGCTGAAACAGATTGGAGCAGATGGGGTTACGCCTGGAACCTTGAAGCTGTCATGCTTCACTGACGCCACATGGGCCTCAGAGGATGAGGATCAGTCATCGGTTGGCGGCTTTGTGTGCATGGTCGGAGGTGGACCAGTGAGCTGGAGGTCCAAGAAGCAGAGTGAGATTGCTCAGTCTTCTGGAGAGGCAGTGTACATGGCGATGTGCCATGCCATCAAGGAGATTGTGCTCTTGAGGAAGCTGCTGGAGGACATGGGAGCTGAACAGCAGGGACCTACACCACTTTTCTCCGACAGCGAGGCTGCTATTGGCATGGCCAATAATCCTATCCTGAATGGGCTGAACAAGCACATGAAAATTAAGTGGCACTGGGTGAGGCAGATGGTGAAGGAGGGAGCTGTTGAGCTTCACCATGTGAAGGCTAGCAAGCAGGCGGCAGATTTTCTCACCAAGAGACTTCCCGAGAGTGCACATTGGAAGTGTGCTAAGATGTGTGGCATGGCATTGCACTAGTGTGGGCAGCAGTGTCATGAGTGCATGTGTGATTGTGTGCATGAGAGTTTGCATTTGTGTGAGTGTGTGTGCATGCAGTCCGTTAGTCTGAGGGGGAGTTTGTTGGATGCACGTCATTCTGAGTGCATGTCATCCTAACGTCCTGCCGAGTGCTCGTGCTATTTGTGCTTGCATGATTTGCATGAGCGTATGTCATTATGCATGGCTGTTGGATATTACCATCTCTGTGTTTTTCTCCAAGTCTACATGCTTGATCATGCAGGAGAAATCCAGAGCTTTCCAACGATACCAAGATCGCCTTATTCCGACCAAGATCGCCCAAGTTACAAGATTTCCAAGCTTTGGGAATTCTATCTCATTTTGAGATATTATCTACAGTGGGTGATTATTGGGACATGACTATAAAGGGATCTTTGGTTGGGTGGTTAGGAAGGCAACTTTGACTTTTGGATTGGGGTGGCTAGAAGTTTCTAGCATGGGTTGCAAATGTTGCAACACCTAGGCAAAATCCAACTAGATTGGATTTTGTATGTGACACCTCAAGGATCTCATGATGAGGGTTGCATCCTTGCAGCTAGGAAGGTTCATACCATCCTTCCCTATCTCTTGGAGAACCCCTTCCCTCTCATGGTTCTCTTGGAGTCCCTAAATCCAACTTCCTATGCCCACATGCTTGTACTTCCTCCACCATTCTAGTCATGCGGCTGCTGGACGTTTTTACATGGTTCTCACTCTCTAGACCATCTTAACGACTGATTCAACTTGGAGATGGTAGCTAAGCCTAAGGCGCACAATCCTACCGAGCGGATTTGCGTTTAGTTGAGAAATGAGTTCGTCGTAAGCTCTCAAAGTGACGGATCCTGAACAACACGCCCCGCCCCATTCTCCCTCTTTCCATCGCCCCGCCCCATTCTCCCGCTTTCCATCACCCCGCCCCATTCTCCCGCTTTCCATCAACCCGCCCCATTCTCCCGCTTTCCATCACCCCGCCCCATTCTCCCTCTTTCCATCGCCCCGCCCCATTCTGCCTCTTCCCATCGCCCCGCCCCATTCTCCTGCTTTCCATCACCCCGCCCCATTCTCCCGCTTTCCATCACCCCGCCTCATTCTCCCTCTTTCCATCGCCCCGCCCCATTCTCCCGCTTTCCATCGCCCCGCCCCATTCTCCCTCTTTCCATCGCCCCGCCCCATTCTCCCTCTTTCCATCACCCAGCCTTATTCTTCCTCTTTCCATCACCCAGCCCCATTCTCCCTCTTTCCATCGCCCCGCCCCATTCTCCCTCTTTCCATCACCCCGCCCCATTCTCCTTCTTTCCATCACCGCGCCCCATTCTCCCTCTTTCCATCACCTCGCCCCATTCTCCCGCTTTCCATCACCCCGCCCCATTCTCACTCTTTCCATCGCCCCGCCCCCCATTCTCCCTCTTTCCATCACCCCGCCCCATTCTCCCGCTTTCCATCACCCCGCCCCATTCTCCCTCTTTCCATCACCCCGCCCCATTCTCCCTCTTTCCATCACCCTGCCCCGTTCTCTCGCTTTCCATCACCCTGTCCCATTCTCCCTCTTTCCATTGCCCCGCCCCATTCTCCCGGTTTCCATCACCCCGCCCCATTCTATATCTTTCCATCACCCCGCCCTGTTCTCCCTCATTCCATTACGCCGCCCCGTTCTCCCGCTTTCCATCACCCCGCCCCATTCTCCCGCTTTCCATCACCCCGCCCCATTCTCCCTCTTTCCATCACCCAGCCCCATTCCCTTCTTTCAAACACCCCGCCCCATTATCCCGCTTTCCATCACCCAGCCCCAGTCTCCCTCTTTCCATCACCCAGCCCCATTCTCCCTCTTCCCATCAACCAGCCCCATTCTCCCTCTTTCCATCACCCAGCCCCATTCTCCTGCTTTCCATCACCCCGCCCCGTTCTCCCTCTTTCCATTACCCCGCCCCGTTCTCCCGCTTTCCATCACCCCGCCCCAGTCTCCCGCTTTCCATCACCCCGCCCCTTTCTCCCACTTTCCATCACCCCGCCCCATTCTCCCTCTTTCCATCACCCCGCCCCATTCTCCCTCTTTCCATCACCCAGCCCCATTCTCCCGCTTTCCATCACCCCGCCCCATTCTCCCGCTTTCCATCACCCCGCCCCATTCTCCCGCTTTCCATCACCCCGCCCCATTCTCCCGCTTTCCATCACCCCGCCCCATTCTCCCGCTTTCCATCACCCCGCCCCATTCTCCCGCTTTCCATCGCCCAGCCCATTCTCCCGCTTTCCATCGCCCCGCCCCATTCTTCCGCTTTCCATCACCCCGCCCCATCCTCTCTCTTTACATCACCCCGCCCCATTCTCCCGCTTTCCATCACCCCGCCCCATTCTCCCTCTTTCCATCACCCCGCCCCATTCTCCCGCTTTCCATTGCCCCGCCCCATTCTCCCGCTTTCCATCACCCCGCCCCATTCTCCCGCTTTCCATCACCCCGCCCCATTCTCCCGCTTTCCATCACCCCGCCCCATTCTCCCTCGTTCAATCACCCCGGCCTATTCTCCCTCTTTCCATCACCCTGCCCTATTCTCCCACTTTCCATCACCCCGCCCCATTCTCCCGCTTTCCATAACCCCGCGCCATTCTCCCGCTTTCCATCATCCCGCCCCATTCTCCCGCTTTCCATCACCCCGCCCCATTCTCCCGCTTTCCATCACCCCGCCCCACTCTCCCGCTTTCCATCACCCCGCCCCATTCTCCCGCTTTCCATCACCCCGCCCCATTCTCCCGCTTTCCATCACCCCGCCCCATTCTCCCGCTTTCCATCACGCCGCCCCATTCTCCCGCTTTCCATCGCCCAGCCCCATTCTCCCGCTTTCCATCGGCCCGCCCCATTCTCCCGCTTTCCATCACCCCGCCCCATTCTCCCGCTTTCCATCACCCCGCCCCATTATCCCGCTTTCCATCGCCCAGCCCCATTCTCCCGCTTTCCATCGCCCCGCCCCATTCTCCCGCTTTCCATCACCCCGCCCCATTCTCCCTCTTTCCATCACCCCGCCCCATTCTCCCGCTTTCCATTGCCCTGCCCCATTCTCCCGCTTTCCATCACCCCGCCCCATTCTCCCGCTTTCCATCACCCCGCCCCATTCTCCCGCTTTCCATCACCCCGCCCCATTCTCCCTCGTTCAATCACCCCGCCCTATTCTCCCTCTTTCCATCACCCCGCCCCATTCTCCCGCTTTCCATCACCCCGCCCCATTCTCCCGCTTTCCATCACCCCGCCCCACTCTCCCGCTTTCCATCACCCCGCCCCATTCTCCCGCTTTCCATCACCCCGCCCCATTCTCCCGCTTTCCATCACCCCGCCCCACTCTCCCGCTTTCCATCACCCCGCCCCATTCTCCCGCTTTCCATCACCCCGCCCCATTCTCCCGCTTTCCATCACCCCGCCCCATTCTCCCGCTTTCCATCGCCCAGCCCCATTCTCCCGCTTTCCATCGCCCAGCCCCATTCTCCCGCTTTCCATCCCCCCGCCCCATTCTCCCGCTTTCCATCACCCCGCCCCATTCTCCCTCTTTCCATCACCCCGCCCCATTCTCCCTCTTTCCATCGCCCCGCCCCATTCTCCCACTTCCCATCACCCAGCCCCATTCTCCCACTTTCCATCACCCCGCCCCGTTTTCCCTCTTTCAATTGCCCCACCCCCTTCTCCCGCTTTCCATCGCCCCGCCCCGTTCTCCCGATTTCCATCACCCGCCCCATTCTCCCGCTTTCCATCACCTCGCCCCATTCTCCCGCATTCCATCACCCCGCCCCACTCTCCCGCTTTCCATCACCCCGTCCCATTCTCCCGCTTTCCATCACCCCACCCCATTCTCCCGCTTTCCATCACCCCGCCTCATTCTCCCTCTTTTCATCGCCCCGCCCCATTCTCCCTCTTTCCATCGCCCCGCCCCATTCTCCCGCTTTCCATCTCCCCGCCCCATTCTCCCGCTTTCCATCACGCCGCCCCATTCTCCCACTTTCCATCACCCCGCCCCATTCTCCCTGCGAAGAAAGCTATTCTACGGGACAGCTGAATTGCGTGGGACGCACGGTCAGATTTATGGCAGTAATTCTTGACAGAGTGGTTGGTTTCTTGGTAGAACTCAAGCATAGTTTCACTAAGAAAAGTCTCACTACGGCACAGAGATGGAGGCGCGCTTTGAGCCGACTCACAGGTCGCGCGAGGCAGAGCGACAGGGGCACGGAGATGGAGGGGTGCGTGGGGCTCACTACGGCACAGAGATGGAGGCGCGCTTTGAGCCGACTCACAGGTCGCGCGAGGCAGAGCGACAGGGGCACGGAGATGGAGGGGTGCGTGGGGCTCACTACGGCACAGAGATGGAGGCGCGCTTTGAGCCGACTCACAGGTCGCGCGAGGCAGAGCGACAGGGGCACGGAGATGGAGGGGTGCGTGGGGCTCACTACGGCACAGAGATGGAGGCGCGCTTTGAGCCGACTCACAGGTCATTCGAAGCTTCCCCCCACGCCTATAGGGATCCATCCGCTTCGTTACCATTTCTCGGCAGACATAGCCGTCATCGCAGGCGCCGAACATTTTGGTGCGCACAAACAAATATCAACTTGCTCTGGTAGGTGTATTTGAGCAGGGGCCACCTGAACATGCAACAACATTCAGGTCATTCGATGCTTTTCCCTACGCCTATAGGGATCTATGCGCTTCGTTACCATTTGTCGGCAGACACAGCCGTCATCGCAGGCACCGAGCATTTTGGAGCGCACAAACAAAGCTAAACTTGCTTTGGTATGTAAATTTGAGCATGGGCCACCCAAATATGCAACAACATTCAGGTCATTCGATGCTTTTCCCTATGCTTATAGGGATCCATGCACTTGATTACCATTTGTCGGCAGACACAGCCGTCATCGCAGGCGCCGAACTTTTTGGTGCGCACAAACAAAGCTGAACTTGCTCTGGTAGGTGTATTTGAGCAGGGGCCACCTCAACATGCAACAACATGTAGGTCATTCGATGCTTTTCCCTACGCCTATAGGGATCTATGCGCTTCGTTACCATTTGTCGGCAGACACAGCCGTCATCGCAGGCACCGAGCATTTTGGAGCGCACAAACAAAGCTGAACTTGCTCCGGTAGGTGTATTTGAGCGAGGGCCACTCAAATATGCAACAACATTCAGGCAATTGGATGCTTTTCCTTACGCCTATAGGGATCAATGCGCTTTGTTATCATTTGTCGGCAGACACAGTCGTCATCGCAAGCGCCGAACTTTTTGGCGCGCAAAAACAAAGCTGAACTTGCTCTGGTAGGTGTATTTGAGCGAGGGCCACCCAAATATGCAACAACATTCAGGTCATTCGATGCTTCCCCCTCCGCCTATAGGGATCCATGCGCTTCGTTACCATTTCTCGGCAGACATAGCCGTCATCGCAGGCGCTGAACTTTTTGGTGCGCACAAACAAAGCTGAACTTGCTCTGGTAGGTGTATTAGAGCATGAGCCACCCGAATATGCAACAACATTCAGGTCATTCGATGATTTTCCCTATGCCTATAGGGATCCATGCGCTTCGTTACCATTTATCGGCAGACACAACCATCATCAAAGGCGCCGAACTTTTTGGTGCGCACAAACAAAGCTAAAATTGCTCAGGTAGGTGTATTTGAGCATGGGCCACCCGAATATGCAACAACATTAAGGTCATTCGATGCTTTCCCCTACGCCTATAGGGATCCATGCGCTTCGTTACCACTTGTCGGCAGACACAGCCGTCATCGCAGGCGCCGAACTTTTTGGTGCGTACAAACAAAGCTGATCTTTGTTTGGTAGGTGTATTTGAGCATGAGCCACCCAGCTGAGCGTGCTAGCAACGCAGCAGAGCGTGCTAGCAATGCAGCTGAGCGTGCTAGCAACGCAGCTGAGCGTGCTAGCAACGCAGCAGAGCGTGCTAGCAACGCAGCAGAGCGTGCTAGCAACGCAGCTGAGCGTGCTAGCAATGCAGCTGAGCGTGCTAGCAACGCAGCAGAGCGTGCTAGCAACGCGGCAGAGCGTGCTAGCAACGCAGCTGAGCGAGCAACGCAGCTGAGCGTGCTAGCAACGCAGCAGAGCGTGCTAGCAACTCAGCAGAGCGTGCTAGCAACGCAGCAGAGCGTGCTAGCAACGCAGCTGGTCGTGCTAGCAACGCAGCTGAGCTTGCTAGCAACGCAGCAGAGCGTGCTAGCAACGCAGCAGAGCGTGCTAGCAACGCAGCTGAGCGTGCTAGCAACGCAGCAGAGCGTGCTAGCAACGCAGCAAAGCGTGCTAGCAACGCAGCAGAGCGTGCTAGCAACGGAGCAGAGCGTGCTAGCAACGCAGCAGAGCGTGCTAGCAACGCAGCTGGTCGTGCTAGCAACGCAGCAGAGCGTGCTAGCAACGCAGCTGAGCATGCTAGCAAGGCAGCAGAGCGTGCTAGCAACGTAGCAGAGCGTGCTAGCAACGCAACAGAGCGTGCTAGCAACGCAGCAGAGCGTGCTAGCAACGCAGCTGAGCGTGCTAGCAACGCAGCAGAGCGTGCTAGCAACGCAGCAGAGCGTGCTAGCAACGCAGCAGAGCGTGCTAGCAACGCAGCAGAGCGTGCTAGCAACGCAGCTGGTCGTGCTAGCAACGCAGCAGAGCGTGCTAGCAACGCAGCTGAGCATGCTAGCAACGCATCAAAGCATGCTAGCAGCGCAGCAGAGCGTGCTAGCAACGCAGCTGAGCGAGCAACGCAGCTGAGCGTGCAAGCAACGCAGCAGAGCGTGCTAGCAACTCAGCAGAGCATGCTAGCAACGCAGCAGAGCGTGCTAGCAATGCAGCTGGTCGTGCCAGCAACGCAGCTGAGCGTGCTAGCAACGCAGCAGAGCGTGCTAGCAACGCAGCAGAGCGTGCTAGCAACGCATCAGAGCGTGCTAGCAACGCAGCAGAGCGTGCTAGCAACGCAGCAAAGCGTGCTAGCAACGCAGCAGAGCGTGCTAGCAACGGAGCAGAGCGTGCTAGCAACGCAGCAGAGCGTGCTAGCAACGCAGCTGGTCGTGCTAGCAACGCAGCAGAGCGTGCTAGCAACGCAGCTGAGCATGCTAGCAAGGCAGCAGAGCGTGCTAGCAACGCAGCAGAGCGTGCTGGCAACGCAACAGAGCGTGCTAGCAACGCAGCAGAGCGTGCTAGCAACGCAGCTGAGCGTGCTAGCAACGCAGCAGAGCGTGCTAGCAACGCAGCAGAGCGTGCTAGCAACGCAGCAGAGCGTGCTAGCAACACAGCAGAGCGTGCTAGCAACGCAGCTGGTCGTGCTAGCAACGCAGCAGAGCGTGCTAGCAACGCAGCAGAGCGTGCTAGCAACGCAGCTGGTTGTGCTAGCAACGCAGCAGAGCGTGCTAGCAACGCAGCTGAGCATGCTAGCAAGGCAGCAGAGCGTGCTAGCAACGCAGCAGAGCGTGCTAGCAACGCAACAGAGCGTGCTAGCAACGCAGCAGAGCGTGCTAGCAACGCAGCTGAGCGTGCTAGCAACGCAGCAGAGCGTGCTAGCAACGCAGCAGAGCGTGCTAGCAACGCAGCAGAGCGTGCTAGCAACGTAGCAGAGCGTGCTAGCAACGCAGCAGAGCGTGCTAGCAACGCAGCTGAGCGTGCTAGCAACGCAGCAGAGCGTGCTAGCAACGCAGCTGAGCGTGCTAGCAACGAGAGCGTGCTAGCAACGCAGCAGAGAGTGCTAGGAACGCAGCAGAGCGTCTAGCAACGCAGCTGGTCGTGCTAGCAACGCAGCTGAGCATGCTAGCAACGCAGCAGAGCGTGCTAGCAACGCAGCAGAGCGTGCTAGCAACGCAGCAGAGCGTGCTAGCAACGCAGCAGAGCGTGCTAGCAACGCAGCAGAGCGTGCTAGCAACGCAGCTGGTCGTGCTAGCAACGTAGCTAAGCGTGCTAGCAACGAAGCAGAGCTTGCTAGCAATGCAGCTGAGCGTGCTAGCAACGCAGCAGAGCGTGCTAGCAACGCAGCAGATCGTGCTAGCAACGTAGCTGAGCGTGCTAGCAACGCAGCTGAGCGTGCTACCAACGCAGCTGAGCGTGCTACCAACGCAGCAGAGCGTGCTAGCAACGCAGCAGAGCTTGCTAGCAACGCAGCTGAGCGTGCTAGCAACGCAGCAGAGCGTGCTAGCAACGCAGCAGAGCGTGCTAGCAACGCAGCTGAGCGTGCTAGCAACGCAGCAGAGCGTTCTAGCAATGCAGCTGAGCGCGCTAGCAACGCAGCTGAGCGTGCTAGCAACGCAGCAGAGCGTGCTAGCAACGCAGCTGGTCGAGCTAGCAACGCAGCAGAGCGTGCTAGCAACGCAGCAGAGCGTGATAGCAACGCAGCTGAGCGTGCTAGCAACGAGAGCGTGCTAGCAACGCAGCAGAGCGTGCTAGCAACGCAGCAGAGCGTCTAGCAACGCAGCTGGTCGTGCTAGCAACGCAGCTGAGCGTGCTAGCAACGCAGCTGAGCGAGCTAGCAACGCAGCTAAGCGTGCTAGCAACGCAGCAGAGCGTGCTAGCAACGCAGCTGAGCGTGCTAGCAACGCAGCTGAGCGTGCCAGCCAAGTGGCAGGCGCCGGACATTTTGGTGCGCACAAACAAAGCTGATCTTTGTTTGGTAGGTGTATTTGAGCATGAGCCACCCAGCTGAGCGTGCTAGCAACGTAGCAGAGCGTGCTAGCAACGCAGCAGAGCGTGCTAGCAACGCAGGTGAGCATGCTAGCAACGCAGCAGAGCGTGCTAGCAACGCAGCAGAGCATGCTAGCAACGCAGCAGAGCGTACTAGCAACGCAGCTGAGCGTGCTAGCAACGCAGCAGAGCGTGCTAGCAACGCAGCAGAGCGTGCTAGCAACGCAGCAGAGCGTGCTAGCAACGCAGCAGAGCGTGCTAGCAACGCAGCAGAGCGTGCTAGCAACGCAGCAGAGCGTGCTAGCAACGCAGCTGGTCGTGCTAGCAACGCAGCAGAGCGTGCTAGCAACGCAGCAGAGCGTGCTAGCAACGCAGCTGAGCGTGCTAGCAACGCAGCAGAGCGTGCTAGCAAC